ATTGAACACCATTAACATCACTCAACGTAATAATTTATGACTGTTCCAATTGGTTTATTGATCGCCATTACTGCCTTTAGCTTCTAAAAAGAGCCGGGGTAAGGGGCGGTAACTTCACAGCCGAACGCCCCGGCTACATATGGTCGTCACTTGTTCACCCCCTTCACACTCAGTCAACTAACTTTCGCTTCTTGTTTACTTACGTTTTGTTAAATCTGCGAATAAGCCATGCTTAAAACATCTATCCAAATTGGTAGAGGTCTTAGCATACAGTCATTCCAAAATTCGGGCTTCTTCCCCAAAAATTACCTAAAAAACCTTTATTACCGAACAGAGGAGCACCGCGCGGGTTCACTGGCCTTTGATACCAATCCCCATTCTCTGTGTTGTGTCCAAGGGAGTAAAATAGCGCTTATTATGCAGCTAGTTAGTGGTTCAGACTGAGGTTGAGCTACGCTGAGAAACACGCAAAGTTACGCGTCAATGAGCCTCAACAGCTGGAAATGTGGGGGGTAAATAAAGAACTCGAAAAACAATAACATTAATTTTACACCGAGTAGACAAGATTGAGATCGATAACAATCTCAAACAAAAATCAGCTGCATTTCCTAACAAATGCAGTGAAAAGAGAACTAAAAACACTGCCAGCCACCCCATACCCTATTCTTCATTCCTTCCTCCCATCCCTACCTGGGATCTGACGAAATCGATTTTCCTTCGATCATCTAATCGATTTCTCTTTGTTATGAATAGAATTTCTTCAAAACCGGCCAAAATGGGAGGGTTCAAGCAATGACGTACGCTCTTGTGAATCATAACACTTCTTCCTTTGTTGAGCGCCACACCACCCTAGCCTTTCTTTACCCACCGTAACCTTCTTCACCTTTTCCTTTTCTTGTCCCAAAAAATGAGCCAAACCACTCCTACCTTTGCTCATGGGCTCCAAGTCGAAAATCCACTCAATTCACATGCTCTTATTGAGTAGGTCTTCGAAAATTCAAACATTCTACCTTTTCATGGCAGCACTCTACGTACTATATTGACCGCTGCCCTCTCAGTAATCCGTGCTGCGCGCTGATCAGATTTTATGGACCAGATTCCCATATGCACTGTATCCACCACATTGTGACCTCACCACAACACCTACTGTTCAATTACTGACGCCAAAATGATGGGAGGGGCGTCTGTTCATATATTTACACAAGGTCATCACTGTCCACAATCTAATCCGTTACGTAGCTAAGCTTTCACGAAAACTGCGTTCCTTTCTGAACCTACACCAGCCGATTAATCCGTTCAAAATTAGTCGAAGAATCACAACTTCTGTTCGGCCCCACCCCTTCTTTCATATAGTTGGCCCAACTCACCTCTTTCTCCACGTCTATACACCCCAAAAATTCGCATGTATATCAATATTTTGAGTATTCTAAAACCAGGTGCGTTACCATTGTCAAAGTAAGACCGTGAGTTAAATTTATCATGAAAACTTTGTCATGGTGTCCGGAACCATGTCTTTTAGCTTTCCAAAAATGATTAGTTTGAAATTTTTGTCACCATAAATTTTTTTGTTAATCCCCCGTAGCTCTGCTTTCTTCCCGGGAGATAAGTTTCACGTAGACCATGCGAGGGGTGACTATTATTCGTATATGCTATGCTTGCTTATTGCTGCCCGCCAACCCTTTTCCCAACCGCCATTATTCAACTATGTGGCAAAGTGCCCATCTTCGTGCTCCTAATTAAGCCTCGCGAGAAATGCGTCCAACTCCCCCCATAGTAAGGTGAATTTTACGCAGGCCAATCTTCGAATTTCCACCTCTCAACGCGGGAGAAGTAGTCGAGCTCTGGCGCGATGGAAAACAACAGAGAGATGGGTATAGCAGCGAACAAGTTGCATCAGAGGCACAGACGTAGTAAACGCGCACGGTACTGGCAACAAGTAGAGCTTTTAGAAACGAAAAAAATGGCACCGAGGAGGGCAGCTTCGGCATACCCTACCCCGCCAACAAGAAAAATAATAGGATAGGCATAAATAAACAGGAGCTAGGTTACCTATTCCTTAAGCATGCCTTCCAGAAACTATCGATCAATGCTTAGGCATTCATTAATGTCGGAGTACGTCCCAGGAAATAAATAAATTTCAGCCGATCTTATAGCCTCAATCTCATCTTGGGTTATCCCTGTGTCAGATTGCCAGGAATACTTCATCGACTAATTCTGCTCAGAAAAACACATTCGAAGTTCCTGCCCTCAAGCGGTTCATTCGGCCCCTTTCCACAGCATTTCCGGCTTCTTGTCGATATTCTTTTCGAATATTTATCACCCTTCACTTTTTTCGAATACTCATAAAGTAAACGAACCATAACAGTTGAAAATTTTTTGACATTTGATTATGGCGGAGACGCCTTTTTGTCTTCGTTTTTCCTGGATTTCAGTGATTACATACTCTCTCAGGGGAGGTCGTGATATCTTTCTCAAAAGAGCGCGTTCTCATTTAGAATTAGGTAGTCGGGTACGAACCCGCTACAATTTAGTTTGTGTTTCTTGTATTTTTACCCTTAGAAGCTCAAAAAGCAGGGGAGAGGCATTTCTGCTCAGAACAATCAAAACAATTTCCTCTACACCAATATAACTAATTCACCCACGGACAATGCACCACGTGTTGCGCAACAGAATGTAAATGTAAACACGTTTGTTTATCAGGGGGCGCATTTGCTTGCCGTTTGTCACAGTCGCGATACCTCCAGTGCTGGTCTGGTTGCTGGCCAAAAACAAACGCGGATCTCGCTGGCCTAGACTCAGGCTAAATGGCCCCGTTGCTGCTGCTGCTGTTGCTAAGTTAACTGGTTGGTTAGGCGTCTGCTGTCTACACTCATTTGCTCATTTTTTTCCTACTCGTCGCAGTAACTAATGCTGTTCCAATGAGGCAATCGGCCAACCTCGTTCTCTGCGTAATTAACTTACTACGGAGCTCATTCTTGAGGCTATTTGGATCGCTCACGAAGAGCTGTCTGAAGGTTTCTAGCCAGCATAACACATTCATTTCAGTTTCGCGCGCTCACCAGCGACAGCACGGCGAGGCAAACAGTAAATCTACTCACATTGAGCGCCCAGCACAGCTCTCGCACTCAATCGCACACTCTGAAAGCGCTTTTCTTCCGTGCTCTCGTAGACGAGGCCGTTTCGGTCAGCTGCTTGTTTACATGCCGACTCTCAAATAATTGAGCGCGAGTGAACGGGACTTCAGAACCTCTCAACATTCCGTTCGCGCGAGCGTTCACTCATACATCTGACGTCCGTGTTCTGCACACTTTTCACCCTCTTCCGTTGCTCATTTCCGTTTTCGGCGATAAAAAATCGTCCAATCAATTGCCGCTGTCGAATTTTCGCTATAATCGGAAAAGCACTTCCAAAGTGCAGCCACCCAGGTTTTTCCCGCGGATGATAATTCCCTCTCCACTCTTCCTGGAAAAATGTCTTTTTGTGACAATTATCTATACGTCAAGGTCCATAGGGGGAGGGGAGATGGTGAAAACACTTATGACACAAGGGGTAATGCCACACCTCACCGTTCCCCGGCCATGACTGCAGCAGTAAACAATGCCATCGACGGGGACGGGTGAAATCAGCTCGGCGTGACGATCACATTCTCACCCTCTTCTGTGCCGTGCCGCAAACACCTCCCAACAAGATAATCCTAAAGGGATAGCACAAAAAATGCTCGTCGCTGTGTGTCGGTGAGGGCGGTTCGGCCATAATCCGATTACCCCAACTTTCGAACTCGCAAATGCTTCGGCACTCACTCCCCCCTCGCGCTCAAAGAAATGCACATGCAAGGGAGCAGCAGCAGCAGCAGCAACGGCAGCACGCAAATTCTTTCCGATTCTCTTCGCGCTGCCTTCGTTTCGCTTTCCACTGCATGACAAACAACTTCTCATTCTAATTCCGGACAGCTTCCGGACTTCAGCACTGGCATCATGATCAAATTAAATTCGCTTTCCCTTCTAACAATGGCAATTCTTCGATCTTCTATACGATGTTTTAGAAGCGGTGTACGCAAACACGACAATTGGCCGAGATCCCCGACACGTGATCGAGGACGTTGTCGAGGAAAACGCGGACGAATCCAATCCACACGCTTCCTATTACGACGGCGGTGAAGACTTTCCCCTAAAAACGGACGCTAACTGTGCCCCGGGCGATCAGACGGCCTTAGTTCTGGCACCGCCCACAAAATATCACACAATGGCCGTTATTCCCGGTTAGAAAATATTCAACACTTCTTCGTTGAACTTCTGAATATCAAGAATTCGTCTTTTCAGGGCGCTGTCTTCGAGGATGCCTGGACATATTTTCTTTTGTTATCTGTCTTATACTTGTCATTATTCAATTAGGACTGATAGATTACTACTATCTCACTGTGTTATCGGATAGAATTTGGTACTCATGGATTGGGGCTGACGCCCTTGTCATCGTCGTCATGTTGTGGTTACTTGTGCTTGCTCTTAAGTACAATCAAACTCAAATGGAGGAGGTGTGTTCTGTCGGTGAGTGGGGAATTGCTGGTCGCTTACCCAGACCTCTTCAATTACCAACGACTTTACCTCCGATTATTTACTCAAACTCTGTTCCTTTGCAGATGGAAAAGTGAAATTTGCCTGGATCGGATGGCTCGTCTACTCATTGGTGCTGGTCGGAAAAGTCGCCACATGTTTCCGCCTTTTCTACAGCGAGGTGCGACATTTTCTAGGACATAGCTAGTCGGAATGGTGTAGTGGCAAGAAGCGCTGTTATCACTTGTAAGGGGTTCTGGATGGGGTTTTTGAAAATGTTTCCAATTTCAGCTACCACCGGACCATTGGACAATAATGACAAACTTTTCGACGATCACCTATTCAAATTGGGACTTTCGCTGTCCGTGCTGATTTTCTTGTTCCTGCTTGAAGCTCATCACTACACGCCCTTGATGAGCGCTCGTCAACTCTATATTACTTATCTGACTACTGCCATTTGTCTTGATCTCGTCGACAATATTTACTTTCTCGACCTCCTTTGGCAATCTTTCGTAAGTTTCACTCTACCCATTTTCCGTACCAGTTTGAAAATTTCTCCCATCTATTTCTCAAACCTTCCCGTGAATAGTAAAGGTGATGTAGTGGCAAGTAGTGCCGGGAAGCCACGCGCACGATCCTGTGTTAGTTCGTGGGTCACGTCCCAACGAAAACTCCATCTCCTGGAGTGGAGTCACTGGAAACCAAATATATTTACTTGTACATCGGCCGACCACCGCAACGCACGAATCAATTAGCATTATTCGCTACCATTCCTGAGAAAAGAATATGTCTTACCCCTAAAGAGAGTTACCAATAGCGAATGCTTTGTCCTTCTATGAACCCGTGATTTTTTTACTGTTCAGTACTGCGCTCCATGATGCCCAGTCGTGTGTGTACCATTTCAATGCGAACGAAATTTGGTCGAAACGCGGAGTTTAAATGCCTCAGAGTGCTTATCAAGGGCTCATTGTCGGTCGAATTTTGATTCAGTCGGCCAAAAACGACTTTTTAAAAGAGTGTAATGTGCGGGTTATTAAAGATAAAGCCCAGACGGTAGTTAGGCCTACAACCACACGCTTGGTTCTCAGATAAAATCGCGGGCTTTCAGTCATTCAGAGTGAAATTATAACCAACCTAACGAGTGAAAACCTTTCATTTCCATTTCAAAATTCAGTGGCAAGACAATTTAGGGGCAAAGTCATCGTGCAGGCCTAATACGCATTCATACATGTACATTGTAATCGTGAGATTGATTGCGGGCGCATCCATGAGTTGAGGATTCAGTAAACGGTTGGTGGTGTAAAGCATGAGTGGAAGGGGTGTTTTGGCGTTCTATTTGAAGTAATAATGAAAAAGGCTGCAATTAGGGAGTAATCAAACGCACTCAATGTGCGCCACACACTTTTCCATCATGGAACCGTGCAATTATACCCAAGCGCATGTGAAAAGTGATCACTAGGAAACACTAAAGTTAACAGGGAAAGAGGAGAAAATTGATGGGGAGAACGTAAAGTGCAAGAAGCCAAAAAGAGGTGCATACAAAAACAAGCCATATTAGAAAGGGGTTGAGGGAGAGCTTTGAAAGCAATATTGACCCGAAGGCTAGAAGCGCTACACTGCTGCAACGAGCGAATGTGATAGAGCCGACTTAAGGGGGACATGTAGAACGAGAGGGAGGGTACAAGCAGGTGAGAGGAACCTGAGCCTTGACAAGCTGCGAAACCTATGTACGAGGGAAATAGGAGTGGATTACAGAGGCTCTGAATTTTTTTAAACAAGAGATCTAACAACAGGCTGATTCAGGTCGTCTCCATGTACCTGTGCAACAAAGTTCAAATTGAAATCAGAAGATTGAGGAATCTGCTTATGGTGGGATATCACAATATTGACAGTCGCATGTGTGAATTTTGTCATGCCTACATTCGCACTGCTGAAACTTCGTTTTGGACGATTCCCACGACTCTTATATATCAGTGATAAAGTCTGGAGCTTACTCTATGTGCTTATCGTAAGTTTTTTCTTGATTTCGGAATTCTTTTAATTTTTCCAAATTTTTTTAGTTCTTTTTTCTGGTTTTTTTAGTTAATCCTCCACTTTTCAGGTGAATGGGCCATTCCGTGGCCTCCGAATTTTATCTGCTAAGATTTTGCTGGAAGGTCGAAGCAGAGGAAGACGCTACGATCCTAGCCTATTTGCCGTCAAAAATATCGCTATGATCTACTTGGCAGTGAGGGAGCTCTGGACTCGACTGCAGTACTGGCGAATGAAACGACGAGCAACCGGATCACGAGGAGAACTTACTGGCCATAACAACACCGATGAAGAACACTAGCTCTTTTTACGATTTCTATCTTCAAAATTCTTTAAATAAGGACTCTACTTAACTGCATAACCTTGCCAAAAAATGCCATCACTTCCACCAAAAACAGCCAGCGACGAAAAACCAAAGCAAATCCGTCTAGAAGCAGCTTTCATGTGATCAAATCAGAATTAGTTACAGTCGCCAGGCAAAATTTCTTCGGGGCAGCAGACGGGTGATACAGGTTAAGCATAATATTGATCGAGCCGACTCAGGATATTGTCTCTTCGCTCGAGCCAAAGTCAACATAAACCCTGACGTGTCCTACTAAATCTGTATTTCAGCTAACTTCTAGTAAACTTTTATGGAAATTGTATTAATGTGATTCGGTTATCGAAAGAGAACCTCATCTTTTTGGTTCATCAAAATTCAGAAAAAAACTTTTTGAAAGCTTTTTCCTCTATCAGACTACAGCGCCGTATGGAGAACGAATAATCCGTGTACATGTGAATTTTTCTTCGTTAATTGTTCTCTCTATCTCAGTATTCTTTCTAAGAATACACAATCCCCAGTCGCTTCACTCACACAGCATACTTATATGTGTCAAATTGTGTCAGGCCAGAATAAAGAATCTTTTCCACTTTTTACAGTAAAAGTGGAACTGGCAACCTGCCGAGCAGTCACAGTATGCGCGACTGACCGTCAACTCGAAAGGTATAGGCACCGCCTAAGTGAAAGGGTTTGCACGTTGAAGACCGCGCTTGTTTTACGTTTTGCGGCCGCGGGGGGACTTCATTGAAATTTTTAGGGACCTCATACAGGAAACTGGAAAGAAAAACCTAATGATGCAGAAGAAACCTATTCCAATGAAATGGAAAGATAAACAAAAGGAAAACTCAATATTTCTCTCCTAATGTGAGCGTATAGCTACACGGCCGCGGAACCGCAGCCCAATATGGCGCGTAGCGCCAAGTGATTGAGAGGCTACATTACGCGCTCAATCCATTGAACATCCCTCCCGAGAATGAGGTTGCACGATGCAATGACGGTAGTGCTACATTAGCGACAAAAAAGCGCTCACTTCTTGTGTCATGTATACGCGCAAACCCCGATAGCTGTCGCTCATTGCACAACTTCGTAGTAAATAATTGTGTTGGTGTCTGCATCTCAACAGTCCCCACGCTTCCTCGTCTTCACATCTGTTCCTTGTGTCTCAATTGCATCGCGTGCACTCCTCCACAGCCCGTACAGTGGCTTTTACTATCGGTATTTTCGACAGATCCCTTTCCTCTTCCCCACTGAGGCTCCGATCGCTCCTCTACTCTGATCCACACCTGGCAGATCCTGGAATGTCCCTTGACGAAGTAACTCCTGAGCGAAAAACAGTGGTTCCCATCTCTGGGAGATTTCGTGTCCGCTTGGGATGGCCGAACATGGCATAAGCTCGCAATTCCCTGAGAAGAGCCGCAAACTGAAGAATTTAGTGATGAGCCGAAGATGCGAAAATTGGGATGCATGCAGTAAAAGTTGGCGTTAGCTCGAAATCATCCATCTTCTGCCTAGTCCGAGACTCCCCACTTCCGCACCGATTAGTTGTAGCCGTTCCTACCACTTGCTCAACAGTGTCGTTCTGCTCTATCGTTACCTGCGAATAAGAGCACCCGAAAACGCCATGCGGTCCCGATTCTGTTCAAAGTGTAAGGAACGTCACTACAGTTCGGTGCTCTCCATAAAGATGAGAAGAAAGTTCAAGCTGCTCGCTCTCAAACTGCTGAGAGTCAAAGCGCGTAGGTAGTGGTGAACTCGCCTATCTAGGTAGAGTTCCGCTTGTATCCCTAACATGAGGAGCAAAGTTTATTTTACTCGGTACCTTCATGTTAGTTGTCAAAAAGGACAAAGATGAGCCCTTTCAAAACTGACCTTCACACAACGCGCAATTCCTCACCAACCTGAATCAAGCGCGCTATATTTTAGTGGGCTTCTTCGTAAACGAATTAAACGTGGTGCGCAATAGTGAGAAAGAGGAATATATCGAGCCAGTGGATGGGCACGCACGTAAAATGAGCTGTGAACGGTAGGAAACAGAGTGAAGGCGAAGTAAGTTGCGAAGTTTCTTTGAGCTAGAAGCGCATGGGACGCAACTGTAAGCGACTCGCCAAATCCCGCATCGAAATGCGTCACTAAGGCGCTAGGGGCCAAGGACTTTGACACGCTCCTCCTTGCGACACGCTCCGCCCACCGCTCGATATTTTGTCTGCGTCGCAATGCTGATCTGCTATGCTCTCTCTTCTCGGATTTCTCTACCGCTCTCCGCGCTCACATTATCTCTCATCTCCTGCCTGCCGGCCTTTTGAACTTCGCCGCAACGTAGAGCAAAAGGCTCGTATTTCCTGTGTATTTCACAATTTTTTTTCCTTTTTTCTCCACTGGCGGTCCACCTCCCACCCCTACATCACATTTGAGTAGAATTACCTCATCAGTTTAAGCTTGAATCTTGCCTTTAAGAGTGCTCTCAAAGGAACAGGAGCAAGGAAGTGTTCAAAAGTTCACGGAGAAAAAACAACTTAAAAAGCCCACAACCGAATTGGAACTTTGACAAGGGAAGTTATGAAAACCCGAAAAGGCTCCATAAACTGCGCCAATGTTAAACAGGACAATAGCTAAAAATGGCAAAAAAACCGGACTGACCAAAAAACCAAAAAACAAGGGCTTGAATATGAGAGATTTTTCATCGTCTGAAGTAACCTTCAAAAACACCGCAAATTTCGAATTCTTCGTGACAATTCTTTTTTGGAAATCTTCATACGAAATACGACATTGTCGAGGACAAACGTCATAATTTTGCCCCCATGCCTGCATTGCGCAAAGTTTATATGCTCAGCAATTTCCCAGTTCAGTAAGTAACCATAAGTATTGCACGAAAGGCAGCAACACATTCGTTCCTATCCAATGTAACACATTTAAACCTTCCCCTCTGGCAAACTAGCCACAATATGCGACGTTCGAAATATGCTTCTTTTCTTTTATTGGGGTAAGCAACAAACTCTCAAAACAAGCCTTGCATAATCCCACAAAAAAATCACATTTACACCGTCACAAGAATTTGTCCCATATCCATGACTTCATCTAAAGAATCAGCTTTCTTCAACAAGCAACCTCCGAGAAGCTTTGCTGCCATCGCGATGTTAAAATGTACTCTCACTATTATTACGTCAGGAAGCTGCAGAAGTAAACCAACAGCTTAGCGGAACAGAATTCCTCAAAGAACTAGTCTTCAGTACAATGAAGTAACAAAGAGGGACTGTCATGCTATGTTTGCTGTGATAGAGAAGCATAGAAAAAACTTTTCCTGAGCAAACAACACTTCTTTTGAAGTCACCTCGGAGATTTACTTCAAAAAATTAGAAGACTTTCGTTCAACCTTAACCTATGCGAAAAAAGTTAACATTAAGTAATTTAACCGGCTTATGAGTGAGAGCTGTGAGAACAAAATGTCCGAATCATACCAAGGACACAGTTGCGTTCATAGTAAGAAGCAATTCCAGAAGCCTGAATTCAAAAATTGAACAGCGAAATGAAAAAAAAATAGAACGAGGGCCGATTCGGAAAAGGGACTGACTGGCCTTTTACATCCCTGTGAATGTGGTTCTTTTAGAATGCACATGTTATTGCAGTCAAGGATCGTTTCGAGAAAAGTGATTAGTACAGAAAGCAAACAGAGAAAAAGAAGCGCTACACGCTGCCCTGGTGACCGAGAAATCCGTGAACACACGACAAATACGCTTTATGTAGATGGATGTAATCATTAATAAACATTACCGGCCTCCATGAAAGGGATGGACTTCGGAGCACAAGACAGGCGATCACGAAGTCCCAAGAACAAGTGAAGAATCCAATGAAAATAAGGACTCGTCAAAATCAAGGGCACGGTACAAGGTGTTTCGGGCAAGACTAAGTCAATACACCTAACAAGAATTGCAGACCCTATGACTGCGCGAGACGAACGCTAGGAAGAAGAAAGTGATGATCAGTTTCCAGTGAAAATAAAGACAGATAAAGGACAAAAATGATGAAGCATTCAGCGTCGATCAATCCTCTGTGAATTGCCACGCATTCTACTTCCAATCAAGATCGTAAAAGGCATTTGAATGCGATGTGGCCTGACAATGACTTGCAGGGGCCAGCCGATGTACAATTTCAGTGTTTTATTCTCCCAGATGAGTCTGTTACCTTCTGCCCAGCCCCGCGGGACGGTTCTTGGTTGGCCTAGGCGAGATTCGATCCGAGGTTTAATCCCAGAAGCACGAGAACTAAAGCCATCTGCCATTACATCACACCTCCGCCCGAAGATATATAAATATATAAATATTTGCGATATAAAAATATAAATATTTGCGGAGCGGACCGCCGCCATAAAAACGGTCATCACCCGGTGCTGGACCATGCGCTTTTCATAGGTGCTGCATTATGGACCATTCCTAGCAGCAGACAGCCCCATGTATACCGATTACTTACTTCTATACTGTCTCATTAACTGGGGAGCTTATGATAAAAACATAAAGTTCCAATATTAATCAATACAGTGATCGTACTATGCACAGAATTATAAACAAAGCACAGCATGAAGCATGTGAGTGATGTGTAAACACATGAACTTTTGTAAAAGAATTTCTAAGCTGGAAGAAGTTATAAAAATTCAGAATCAATAAGAAACAGAATGAAGTAGCCACCCTAGAATAGAAAGGGGTGGAGTTTCAGGGTAACCATGACTTAGGGACTGAATTCGGAATTTTGAACTACCGAAATAAGAACATTGAAGCGGTGAATGTATGTGGATCATCTACGCAAGTAATTCCTATGATAACTTGCTACTCCGATTACCGGGTATGATAAATGAGGAAAAATGAAGATTGTCGCTCATAGTGAGTCTTCCTCACCGTTAAAGAAGTGCCACCGTTGTGACCAAAGTAAAAGTAAAAGAGTAAAACTCACATATTGATGAAAATCGAAGAACTTGGCAGTGAGCAGAGGAAGAGAATTGACTTTCTTCTGTTTCTGATACCAAACTTCTAATTCGAGTAATGCTCGGCAATACTTTTCCAACTCCATGCGACGTTCTTCCAGAAACTCGGCGTCCTGAATTAAGCATGATTGCGTCTCATATCAGAATCTCATGCTTTTGAAAGGGAAAGACTTATTACACGAACGTGGAGCGCAGACATCTGCCACTTTTGAGAAGAAAATATGCATTCTATTACAAATGGAGAGGTACAAGAGATGAGACAGCCCCAAAATTAGGAACGTCCTAGCAATAAGACGACAAAAACAAATTCGAGGTACTCACAATTTTGATTGAAAAATCCGGTAGCAAAAAAGGATCAACAAGTTGCGTGCAAGATACCACATGAGCGATTCGTTGTGATGCCAAAATGAAGGATGGAAGTAACTTGTACGCTTAGTGGTAGCCATAGGCCCTTCGACACTTTCTGGTACACGGTTTGAGGACCCTCATCTACAAGTTCCCAACTCGTCCCAACTTAAGCATGACTGTTTGTCAATAAGAGCAAAGGCAATCTCGGTTTGCTACATGACATACTGGCAGTGTCATCTAAATTAACATAAAGCAAGAGTGAGCTACAGGTTAAGTACGATCAGAGGACGTGTAAGCGTTTTCTTCGTTTGCGCTATGAATCTGCTCATAGCTGCAATTTCTGCTTCTATAGTTTGCAGGTTTTCACGGAGGAAATGTTCTTCAGCTCTTGACAAGTTCGACAGACTTGATTGAGTGGGAGTATGCCAACAAATATCCGAGTGTTAGTTATCAACCTCCAGCTAACAGTACATTTTAAAAGACAGGATCTAATAAAAGTCTATAATTCGTTAAGGGCAGATTTCGCAACACAATGCTATACATAGCCTGATTGACAAATAAATGCCAAACGAAACATAACGTAATGAACGGAAAAAACCTCTATTCAGTAGGAACACCATCGGCAAAGTAAAATGACACGTGAATAAATCAAAAATGCGCGAATGAGATTGAACTTGGCAAGAGCAAAAGGGGAAGCAATCCTACTGCAAATTGATCAAAGGCGTTTGTAGCTCCCGAAACCCATGATTTTTGTGGTAGCAGCTCAACCTGCCGATGATTAGACAAATAGACTGCAGATAAATTACCATATCGGGAATAAAGCATGGAAATCCAGATTCCAGCATAGAAAAGGGGGAAATCCGCAAACTTACATCCACCTAACAAAACTTGAACCCTTTTACTTTACAGATTTCCAAATATATGAACAATCTATCTGAAGGTAAAGTTCTCGAGAATGAGTGGGGAAGTTCATCGATTTGAAAAGAAGAACACTTTTTCATGGCAAATTTCAGGAGAAGAGGTTCCACAGAGACACTCACTGCGTTGTTTCAAATTTAGCAAACATGTGCTACAAAATTCCTTTCATACCAACTAACCGTGGCATTCCAATGGCATTATGATTCAGTGATCAGGACAGAAATAAAATATCAAGCAAAACCTACCAGGTTCCTTATCAACTTCTTCGGAGGAAGGAAGGATTTCTTCCGATCAGGAAAGCGACGCATATCCATCGCATCAAATTCACTATATCTACGTTCCACCACCCATGTATAACCGTCCACTGTTAGCTGTATCGTGTACACCTGAAAAAGACGCAATGGTTGACGTTGCACAAGCTTCAACAGTAATCACTTGACGGCTTCTTCTGTGCTGATAATGATACAAAGAATTCATTTCATGCACTTGCGTCACATATTTGAAAAAAGCAACTACTTCGCTGATTAGAATATATGTAAATGAACATCATAATGAAGTTCACGTATTTAACGCAACCTCTGCATATTCGAAAGCACTGGTTACACCATATGAAAAACTAACGCATTCATTAAACAGGTTTGCTGAAAATAGCAAGCTTTCCTAGCAATGAATGAAACGTAGCCATTTGCAAGTTCGTACCATCACGTCCGAAACTGGTAGCGCCCAAGTTGGGCCATCATACTTGGCGATCTTGCGATTCCGTCATTGTGCGATCTCACGTATTTTCGTAAAGTAGGTACGTATCGATCGCATGGTCGATATGTCTCTACTCCATACTCGGTTTGAAAACCAAATTACCAAAGAATGACCTGATTCTCATGAGCAGAGGATACACGATATACGCTATATACGTATCGATCGTTCAGCCCTCAGACACGTCTGACGATCGATACACATCCAATGCTGTGCGATCGTTACGATCGGATGACCGACTATGAATGCGCCCTAATCTTTTACATGAGCACTTTTACTTACGATTAGTTCGAATTCACTGCCATCAAGCAATAACTTGAGAAATTCAATACCACAAGCTAAGCAATTGATCGAAATTAAAACTAAAGGACTTGCATGGTTGAATGTATTGTAAATAAGCATTATTATTAGCTATGAATTCACAAAAAGGTCAGTGGAATTTGAAAATGGATGAAAGCAAGACCACAAAAACTTACAGCGTATTTCCCCTCATCGACAACTTTATAATTGAGTATCTTGACATTGAAATCGTTATTCATCTGTGGAGAAACCGACTCGATATCAAGCAAGGCCATATTGTGGATTCAGGTAATCCACCGGCGGTGGATCCAACCTATAACCGCAAGCATTAGAAAATCAATTGCTTTATGGTTATAGCTACAGCTTCATCGACTACTCAGGTAGACTGACATCAGAATGAATACAATCAAAAAAGAAAAGAAACCAGAATGATACTCCGAACAAACAGCTGGGACAACGTCTGAATATTGGCGTCGAATGAGGACGACGTTGCGGAGTTTTATAGATAATACCGTAATCTTAAAACTTGCGGCGCGCAGGGCGGCACGCACGAGAGGGCTTTCGGTTGGGGGAGTGTTTATGGTTCTATGAAGAAGATCCGTTTGAGGCTACATACTCATAGTATCTGAACTTTTTCGGGTCTGTTTCAGTTAGGGGGCATCATGATGCAGTTTTTCCAGAAAGCTAGGGTAACTCCGAACCAAGGGAAGTGTAGCGTCTGCGGAGAGCTGCGAGCAGTGAGAGCAGTGGCCGATGTTTTAGACTTGCGATTGGAGGATTGATCTAGATGCGGAAGTAAATGTGAATCGCGCGATGGGGCACCGCCATACGCCCCCGTTGTGCGTGGTCACAGGCGCCGTGTTGGCAGGGAGCGATCAATCGAATATCGTTGCGCACTCTGCAGTCAAGGATCGATGAGGGGGGTGGATTGATCGCTCCCTGCCACAACGGCCTGTGACCAGAGTCAACCCTGCGTTGCGCAGTTCGCAACGGCACGTCGAGAGATCCTCAACGCACGCTGTATGGGCGGAGACGCAGACGGCTCGAGCATGCGAGTGTGAATGTTCGCGCGAGAGAACGTGTCTAATCGGGCGAAACTGCGCAACGCAGGGTTGACTCTGCCTGTGACCCGCACAACGGGAGCGATGAAACCCATCGCGCGATTCACATTACCCCCATCTTGACCAAATCGCTCCAATCGCAAAGTCTGACATCGGCCAGTCGTGTGAGACATGCATGAAAAGCTATGTTCGAGTTCACACTACTTCGCCGAGAAACTGCATCACAATGCCCCCTCCCCCCCTACTGGAATAGACCCACTTCTCATCAAACAGGCACGTCAAATACAAAAGGGAAAGTGACAGTACAGAATGAGTTGGTGACAAGCCGGATTTAACAGTCCGGTGAGTGACCGCTACCGTAATCCACGTTGGCACTGGAGCGCGCAGCTACACTACTGATGTGTACCCACACGTTATCAGCACCAACGTGGGAGGGTAGCCAGGTGGCGACGAAATAGTAACTGCCCCTTGAACTAAGCCTTGGAGGAGCAGACGTACAGAGCGCCGCGCCGCCGTGTGGTTCCCCCCCCCCCCCCCCCACTAAGCCACCACCGAAATCGCAAGATAATATGACATGCGAGAATTCATCTGCAACAGCCACGCCAATACTTTCATTGAGCCCGCCAAATGCGCTGGCTCCTGACTATGGATGTTGGCAGTGCATAGGAATGTCGTAGGGTGAAAAGAGTCAGATGTGATGTTTTGATTTCTCATAGATTTATCAGCGACTGTGTTATGGCGCGCTACATTACAATGCTAGTCGACGTTGTTGGTCAGGTATGCGCAGTATTATTTGCATAAGTCATATTTTGTAGTTTGAATTCAAAGTATGCCATTTCCAGGAAGTAGGGCACTTTTTCTGACGGTGACATCGGCGCTCATCCAGTAAGGGGGGGCATCAAGTGGCTGCCCTCACCCCCCCCCCTAGACTGCCTACACTCCCCCTGGCGCACAGGTTTCTCGAAGTACGGGACCCCGTGAGCCAGGGGGAGTGAAGCCAGTTCAGGGGGTTGGGGCAGAGTCAACCCTGCGTTGCGCAGTTCGCAACGGCACGTTGAGAGATCCTCAACGCACGCTGTATGGGCGGAGACGCAGACGGCTCGAGCATGCGAGTGTGAATGTTCGCGCGAGAGAACGTGTCTAATCGGGCGAAACTGCGCAACGCAGGGTTGACTCTGGGGGGGGGGTCCGTCACTATCTCAGGGCGCTGGATGTACTAGCCCCCCTTACCGGATGAGCGCCGTGACATCAATTATTATTATGTAGTCAAATCCGAAACCTAATTTGCTCCTCGGTTTCTTATGTATCTGAACTTTCTTATAAGCACGTGAAAAATATTATTAGAGATTCTATAGAAAAAGAACTGTATGAAAAACTCGAGCTTCTGAGGACCTCGTTTTCCCTGAAGCAAATATTCGTTCAAAGAGCTTATTGTTTTCCACAGATGCTTCTTTTTTCTGAGCCTCAAAATTTCTACCTACGTTGTTGTCGTTTGACGTCAAACAAGTGACAAGGGCGCTAGTCTCTATTCTCGCGATCAGAGTATCCCCACAATGGTGAGGTGTCGGCTAGCTGGTAGAAAACAGACCGAGCAAACAAAGCAATTCAAGTTTACACTAGCTGGCTTCGGAAAAATTTGCTATAAAAGCGAAGTATGCAATGAATGGCATAATAATTCTGGAATGAAGTCGACTGTCTCCCAAAGGGACCAATTAATGCCTTTCCCATTGATTTCCTGTTTGCACTACAATTGCATGGCTTATTCTCTTACTATTCTCTTACGCTTTCCTTTTTCTGTAGCAAAGCCATGTATCTGACAATGAGCGGAAGTTTGTTTCCTTAGCATGTCTTTCTCTAGCGAATGCTGCTTGAGTAATGCGAAACAGGGTCAAATGGGGCATTCGGCCAGGTTCAAATTTTTATGCTGCGCCT